AAAAAAAAAAATGAAGCTCAATGCACAGTGTTCATTCTGGGTGGCTCAAGGAGCCAGTTTTTCTATGAAGTTGTGAGAAGTAAGTTTATATTATAATGTGTGATATACGAAAAGCCATTTCACTTACCAAGGATGCCTGTTTTCCTTAGAGCAAAAGGACTAGCAGGTTACCAATATGCCCAGCATAAAGGTGGGGCCCTTGGTGCTACTTATGGTATCTTGGAGTTCAAGTGCTGCCTTCCGTAAAGGAAATAGACTGGGCTTTGCATTAAGACTAAGAGAAGCTGCCTGAATTTGATGGAAGAACTTTGTCATTCATAGAACATCAGTTTGCCTGCACTGGAGACATTCTCAAGGGAAGCACCAGTGTTAAGAGGCAATGTCAGAGTCCATTCCATCTCCTACTTAGCAGGAAGGCCATCAGTCCACCTGGGCAGCCCACTGGCCAGGCAGCTTAGGAATGCTGACAAGTTCTCTTCACCTCTACCACCACTCCTTGCTTCCCACATCCACTCTATCCACTGCTGGCTACCGACTAGAAGCCACTCCAACCCAGTTCCTGGAGCACAGTAGGCACTCAATGTCTCTCAATTGAATTGAGACTGAGGTGACAGCAAGGACAAGCAATCCAGGGAATCTGGGCCAAAGCAAAACTTCCCTCAGTTAAAATATGGCCCAGGTCACACTATTCACTTGGCTTCATTCATCTCAGCTCAAATGCGCACATCATTTTCATGACAGAAACAGCCTCTATTTGAAGCTGATGTCATATGAACTCAAGTTAGGAGACAAATTAATCTGATCAGTTTTGTGAAACATGTACAATTCAAACCTTACCCAAACTGGCATCTTACCAGAAGAGTTATCAAATCGCAACCACCCACAACAGAGGTGTATCTGCCACTGCTCCCGAACACTCTTCTTCATCATGCAGTGAAACACAAAAATGAAGAATCCTAAGCCAAGAGAAGAAGGTCAGTCTTTTTTCAGCTTTCTTCACCAGCTGTCACAGTGCCCGCGCTCAGTACTGCTCCTGTCACCATAGATACTATTTTCAAGGAAGCCCAGGGCCATTACTGTCTTTCTTATCTCGTCTTTCCAACCTCCCTCCCAAAGGCAGTGATGGCAAAGAGGTCTGTATTAGGAAATTTCATGTCAACCACTGTCTTGCCCCTGGGCTGCTGTCCATCCTAGAGCCATGAGAGATAGGGCTTGCTATGGTAACCAGCCTCCAAGATGGCTCTCAGTGATCCTCACATCCTGGCATTCACACCCTTGTGTAGTCTCTTTCCACATTGTACCAATAGAATATGGCAGAAGTGATGATATGCCCCCTCCAAGATTAGGTTATAAAAGACATTGAGTTCTCTCTCTTTCTCCTCCCTTATCACTCACTCTGAAGGAAGCCAAGTATTTTGTCTCGAGGACATCCTGGCATCCCTGTGGAGAGGCCCACATGATGAGGAATTGAGGCTTCCAGTCCACAGCCATGTAAGTGAGCCTTCCTGGAAGCAGATCCTCCAGTCAGATTTTCAGATGATTGCAGACCTGGCTGGCAGCTTGACTGCAACTTTTTGAGAGTCTCTGAGCCAGAAACACCAAGCTAAGCTGCTCCTGAATTCCTGACCCTCAGACACTTTGTGAGATAATATATGTTCCTTGTTTTAAGCAGCTAAAATTTGGGGGTAATTTGTTACACAGCAATAAATAACTAAGACACATGCTCTCTGGCACAATTACATCATGTGGAAGCCATGTATTTGGTGCCCTCAATTTCCACTGCCAGCCCTGATTTTGTCCTGCAAGGGGGAGGGAGGGGCTGAGGTATCTACCACCAATGCTGGCCATTTCTTCTCCCCACCCTCTAAAATATCTCCTTGGGAGATGAAAGTGGGACTTAAGATGATCTCGATTGCACATTCCTCGAAGGACCAATTGGATTTCCTAAAGTTGGGGGTGGAATTGGCAGAAATAACTCCTGTCAGTAGCCTGACTTTTATTTATGGTCCACGCCAAAAATCTTTATCCACAAACCTTTCCAGATGCCTCAAACTGATACTCATCTGTCACATTTCTGAACTCCCATAACACTTTGTTTCTTATATTACTTGCCACATTTAGACATATCATTCTCCATGTATTGTCTCTCTCTCCACCTAGCTGTTGAGTCTTTGGGGGCTGAGGTATGCTTCCTTTTCAGATTTATGTCACTTTTCCCTTTGCCTCTAGTACCAAGTGTGGTGGCTCAATAGATGTTTATTGATTTGAACTCCAAGGCACTTGATACACAAACTGTCACAGCCTTCTACAACCTTATCAATGCCTTCTTGAACCTCAAAATATTTATTTTGGCCCAAGTACAGTTTGGAAACCTTTACTCCCTATGCAGGGTTCAGTTTGCCTCCACATCAGCCAGTTATCCTGAAGGCAAATGATTAGTAGTAGAGAGGTCTTAACACGTTGCCAACTGAGCACAAGTCAGTAGTAAATGCCCCCAAAGCTGATTTCAACTACAGCATTAGTAGAAGTAAAGAATCTTAATTAGGGTAGGTGAGAGTCTCTCTGGCTTTGTTTGACCATACCTCCCACCAACACTATGTTCAGTTTGGGAAGCTTTGTTTTAAGAGGATGGTGACAAAGAGAAATATTCAAGAATAGAGCAAACAAGGATAGTGATGAACTTGAGGAAAAGCTGAAAGAGCTAGGGTGTTGTATCTGGACACAAAAAAACTTGGAGTGGAAAATATAGAGTGAGGAGAGGTGATAACTATAGCCATAGATCTGAAAGGGCTGTCACAAAAAGAACAAATTAGGCTTGTTCCATGTGGTTGCCAGGTTAGAACTAAGAGAAATAGGAGAAAGTTACAGAACAACCATGTACTAACAAATTCCAGCTAGTGTTTACTGAGCAATGACTGCATAATAGGCATTGTGCTATTAGTCTTGTTGTTATAATTGAGAGAACTCTGAGTCCAAGAAGTCTAGTAAACTTGACCCAGGTCACAGAGCTAATATTGAGCTGACAGCATCAGGACTAAACACAGGCAGTCTGACTCTAGAGCCCAAGGTCTTAACCACTGTACTATACTAGCCTCAGGTAAGGAAGAGCAGTATGAGAATCAGAGTTGATGAGAAGTTAAATGCTTTGCTTTACGGACTGGTGAGCTTTCAGTTCCTGGAAAGTTCCAGGCAGAGACAAGTGACTTCCTATCACTCAATGGGAAGTTGAACTGGGAACATCTTAGTTCCCTGGCCCCAGCCCTGAGACTCTCTGATTCCAGGTGGGAGGCAACAATCTGGAGGCTAAACGGAATGGCATGTCTCACTAATTCTCCCGAGGGCTTTATCTCCATTTGTAACCAAACTGTGGTGACAAATTCAGCAGCGTTCACTGTTTCTCTGAGCCGCAGCCACCTGGAAGGTGGTGCAGGACCCTGAGGAGAGCAAACCCAAGTCTCAGAGCAGATAAAACTCCTCCAGCTTCAGCATGAACAAGGGGTGACAGTGACATCAAGCGCCTATTACTGCTCTGATTTCCTGCATGGAGTTTAGTTAGTTCTCAGACTTAAAGGTTATTCTGTGAATTCCAATGAGCTGCCTGCCAGCTCTCCCTCTCCACTTGACAGCCTTCCTTTTTCTTTCCAATAACAGATTGATCTGCTTACTCACTAGAAGAACATAGGCATGAGGGAAGATGTCAGGTTTTTGTCACCTGCATCTTTATTTGTGCATTCTTCTTTCATAAATAGCTCATCGTAAGCATAATTTTTTCCCACTTGACTACAGGCCACCCCCCCTTCAGCTAGCATTGCCAGTTTGCCATTGGTCTTTCAAATGGCTAGTTTGTTCACTTGTCCCATTGAATTCTTATTTTGAGGTTAGCTGGGTCACGTGTATGTGTATAACTTGAATTTGAAGCTCAGGGCTCAGGAGTAGGAACACTTGGTGCTTGATTGACATAAAGCATATCTCACAGACAGAGACAGCTTGGCTCTGCTGCTGGATCTATGCGGCTTTGATTTTAGTCTTCAAGAAATATCCAATTAAATTCTGCATCTACCTATGGAGGCTCCCTGCTTACATACTACTTTTCCCTTCCACCCCAGGAATGGAGCACTTGCTGCTTTGAAAACATTCCTGCCCTTTCTCCCCTCTTTTAAGCTTGAAACTGCTTTTCTTTTCTTTTTCTTTAGTCAGCTTTCCTTTAATCCCTCTTCCCATAGAGTGAGCACATTTCTCCACAGAATCAGTGAGCCAAAGATAAGCCTGGAGTTATCACTGAGGAAGAAGTCTGCACAAGCGTCTCGTTCCTAATCCACTTCTGTGGACATTCTACACCAAGGCTAGTTAGTTCTTGAAGTTAGAGTATCATGCTAGAGTATCGAGTTAAGAGTACCTCAGTGTGGGCCAGGCAGTTCTGTCCAGAGGAAAAGTGTAGAACCATCAACAGGGCCTCAGTCAGCAATCTAGGATACAATCAAGTGCTAGTAGCCTCAAAGGGAACCAAGTGGAAGTGGTGTGGAGAGTTCCTAAAAATTCCATCCCTACTACCAGAGGCAATGAAAATGGCATGTAGAGTAAAAACCAACACATTTGGTGACTTTTTACACTCCAATTAGAATATGGCTGTATAAGGTTGGCAGAATCTGGTGGGACAGATAGTTCCAATTGATCCACAACATTTTGCTAAAATGATATTTTTCCAAGTCATAAGATGTAAGGGCGAAAACTATGCCTCATGCTAGATTGCTTCCTTAGCCCCCTGCAGCACTTGGCAAGTGCATGGCATATAAGAACTGCATACCAATTTATATTTCCCAAGGTTTCTCAGGGGTTAACAACCACCACAACAAAGGATTCTGAAGTTTTTAAAATACTAGGTTAAAAAAAAATTAAGATTTTTTTTCCAACAGAGCTTTTACCATGCTAATGTATATTGTGCTATTCTAAGAATGGGGGAATGTAGTTTGCCACATTTCCAAAACTTCTTTGACCATAGAACTCTTTCCTTGCTGGAGCATCCTATGGAACCACTAGTGGACCGCACTTTGGAAAAAAAGATTTCTTGAATGAAAAAATAGTGGAGATCAGTAAGGGAGATCCTAACTTAACAGAATGCAAGTTGACTCCCAGCCTGCCCCAGTATCCCAAATGGACTGGGCTAAACTTGTGGACAAAAGTCTGGAGTGGACTTTGAGACTCCCACACAATCATTCTGCATGCCTCTTCCCTCCAATATATTTCAATAGGCAAAATCAGGTTAAAATTAACATCAACAATTACTTAGAGGTATATTAACCAGATCCTTGGCTTTTACTTCTTGTGCCATATTTTGTCTACCATTTAATCACTTCATTGATCATTTGCTCCTTTCACTAGAATATAGGAAAAAGATTAAAGAACTGTAGAGCCCTTAGCTTAAAAATCATCTAATTCAACCAGTTGTGGTGTTGTTTTTAAGGTTAGTTTATAGCAAAACCAAGACTAGAACCTTGGCCTGTGGCCTCGACCCACAGCCCTTTGCTCTTACCCTTCATTCCTGTGTGATGCTACAATATCCTAGCCTGGCTCTTTCCCAAAATATTAAGATATCTGATAGAGACAGTCTATGAGATCAAAATTTTAATTTTTCTACTGTCCAGTTAATGGTTATGTCCAACTGGATTGTCCATTTCCAAATGTCAACACAAACGTGAATCTGTACATCTACAAGTACAATGTGATGGTGCAATAAGTGAATGTTTATTGCAGTACAATTCACAATTGCAAAGATGTGGAATCAACCCAAGTGCCCATCAATTCATGAGTGGATTAACAAAATGTGGTACATGTATGCTATGGAATATTACACAGCCATGAAGAAGGATGAATTCAGGCCTTTTGTGACAATCTGAATGGAACTTGAGACCATTACCCTAAACAAAGTGTCTCAAGAATGGAAAAACAAACACCACATGTACTCGCTATTAAATTGGAACTAACCGATGAGCACACATACACGCAGAGGGAAATAAAACTCAGTGGAAATCAAGCGAGGGAGGAGGGAGGAAGGGGTGGGAAAAAACCTACCTAACGGGTACAATGAACACTATCTGGGCGATGGGCACACTTATAACCCTGACTCAAGTATAATAAAATTGATACATGTAACCAAAAACATTTGCACCCCCATAATATTTTGAAACAATAATAAAAAAGAAGTATCACCTGTCAGTGTTTGATATGAGCATTGTGAACTAGCCAAAGTTGAGTTAGCTATCTGGGCTTCTCTCTACCTCCCTGAGTAGGAGAGAGTAGGCTTTGTGTACATTTAATGAAGGCTAACATCTAGCTAATGCTTCCAATGGCTGCCTGTCTGCTCAATGACAGCAGAGGCCTCTTGGAGTATTTTTGTTTCCTTTGAGTCTCCGACAGGTGAGATTATTTTCCAAAGCAGTAAAAGCTTTGGAGGAGGTCTAGCAAGCCAAAGAAAAGGCAAAGAAACAACAGTTACCTTGCAAAGTGTTAAAAATGGCAAAAAGATACAAGAAAAAGATCCTCACAGGTCCCCAGGCAAAAAGGGCAAACCCCCAGGTGAGGCCAAGTAGGAATGTGAGACTTGTTGTGCCTTTGAGGTCATGCAGGATCATCTTCTGCCAAGTCTTCTGGCTTTGGGATTTCATGGAATTCAGTTGAGCAAGAACAGTGCAGAACATGGAGAGATTCATGAGAAATATGAGGCAAAAATAAGCCACCACTGAGATGTAAAAGACAGAATCATCTTTAATCCAACAACTGTAAGAAATAAAGAAGAGAAGACTCTTGTGAGATGGGGAAACGTAAAGTGCTACTTCTTAAAGACTGAATATCATCTACTCGGTTTCACTCCACCCAAGGGCACCTAGACCTAGAGAGATGAATGGACTTGACAGAGTTCGCTCAGGCCCACTGCAGGCAGAGCTGGGATAAGAATTCCAATCTCCTGAGCCCCAGTTCAGGGTTCTTTCCAATGCCAAGTCAGAAATCCTAGAGGATATTTCTGCCCTACATATGCAGAAACCCCTCAGTCCAATTTCCTAGGAAATTATTCTCTTCCTCAACAGCAAAAAAAAAAAAACCAAAAAACAAATTATGAATTTTCCCCCAAAGTGGCTCTCCCCCCTCACTTTACACCTGAGCTTTTATTTGCAGAATGAATTCTGTTTTGCATGATAAATATCACAGTAAAAGGACATGAGCAATGAATGACTATTCTGAATGCTGTATCAAACAATGATGAGCTTATCAGAGTTAATGAAAATGCAACAAAAAGAGGACAGCTCTATCTCGTTGTACTGCTTTAAAATATGATGTATTTGGACTACAAAAGGCAACACTGACCAGTGAATTGATCAATGTCTCTATAATTTCTATTAAAGAAAAAAATATGCAGTGGTTCATATGAACAGATACTTCATTTAATAACATTTCCAATTACCGGAGACATTGTTTCTGATTTTTTAACACAGACAAGCTTGACTAATTTAACTGTGTGTCAATTTAGCTGAGACCTCTTTTCTAAAACCAGGAAAATCCCTTTTGGTCATGTTGTTCATGTTGGTGTGGATACTTTCACGTATGTGTGAGTTTGTGTGTGTGCATTGCGAGGGTGTGAAAAAAGACATTTAATTTCCCTGATTGAGTCTAACACTTAGGCTGCCCTGACTATCATCTTCAGTCTTAAGGGGGGCTATAGAAATCTGTTAAAATGAAGCAGTGCTATATGTTTGGATAGAGAATCACCTCCAAGATATATTGTTAAGTGAAAAGAGCAAGGTGCCAAATCGTGTATATCTACCATTTGGGTAACAGCGCGTGCAAGAGAATATCTACACAAATTTTATTGTTGGTAATAAATCGGTGATGAGTTACCTTCAGGGAGAGAAACTGGGTAGCTGGGGTTGGGGGATGGGGTTTACTTTTCATCCTCTACCCTGTTTGTTGTACCTTTGGATTGTGTTCCATGCGCACAAATTACCTCTCCAAAATATAATTATTTTTAAAAAAACCTATTAGAGCAGTCTGCCTCTTACTAACCAATTCACATATGAAAAGGCTCTTTGAGGGCAAAATAGAGTTGATTTTATTCTACTTTTGCTTTTGCTGTTGCTCTTTGAAGAAGAATCACCATTAGATATATACTGGGGATCTTTTAAATCACAAAACAGGCAAGGAGGGAGGATGGAGGGGAGCTGAGAAGGAAGGGAAGAGAAAAGAGAGAGAAAGAAAAAATAACAAGGAATTTTAATTAGAAAGCACCTGCTGCAAAGGGCAATATAATTTTGACACTCCGGAAACTGTCATCTCAATATGAAAGACCAAGGAGTCCTGGGAGCAGGACCTCCTGCATTTGATTCCAGTTCAGTGGGAGAGGAAATATATAGTGGAAGAGAATTTGAGAGGCAATGATAAAGAGAATGAACAATCAGAAGTGTAAAATGAGATTGTGCCTCCTAAAGGACCACAGGGTAACTATCTACCTGCCTATAAAAGAAGGTTCTGGAGAGGTGGAGTGATGAGAATTGCTCCTCTTTTGTGGCTGTGGTTCAAAGAACCAAAGAGATGGGCTTATACATCAAATGTATAAAAAAAGAAAAGAAAAGAAACAGAATAACAAAGCTGAACAAATTTACAAAGGAAAGCTGAGTTGTGTTCTTCAGGGAAGAACTTTGTTGTTGAAAAATAGAAAATGTTTTCCAACTCATCTCAATGTTTTCTTGTAGTGGCCACTAACTCTTTTCGATGATCTGTGAGCTTTGTCATTGTAATAGCTGCCACTTACATAGCACTTCCCATGGAATAGGTAACACGCTGAGCACTTTATATACATGATGTTATTTTAATTTACACAGGACAAGAGCAAACATTATCATCCTCACTTTCCAGAGGAGGTAATGGAACTTAGAGGTAAGGTAATTTGCTGTTACATCATAGAAAGCCCAGGCATCTAACTGTTATATGAGTGTGACTTTGACTATGTTTAGGGCAAAAAGGCTTAGACTGAGTTCTCCCTGAAGCCAGTGGCAAGACCAAGCCCCAAGCTGGGAATACCTCACCTACCCAGAGCCCCAGCACCTGAGAAGCAGAGATGCGATACTTACAATGGATCTGTTGGGCTGAGAGGTCCATACAGATCTTTTTTCACACTGACTATAATTGCCACCATGATCGCTGGGATTCCTAGAGTGGAAAAAGCAAGGCAAAGGCATTTCATTAGGTAATGGGATGCGGGGAGGTCCTGATCAATGACTGTGGGCGCTGGTACAATAAGACACTGTTTAAATGAGCCACAGATGTGCGGGCATCAAAATACCATTGTTTGCAAAATGTTTGTGAATTCTTCCAAGTTAAACATTTCTAGGAGTTCTCCAATCTGCTAAACTAAACAGCATGCCAATGGCTCCAATACAACGCCCACTAGTTATTAAAAATAGCTCAAGTGCCAAAAAATCAACTTGGCAATAGAAGTATCTAGTTCATCAGAATGCAAGTTCGTATCAAGCATTTCTTCTTAGATGAGGGGCCGTCAATGTTTTCTCCCTTTCAATTCTGCCCCTTAGGTTCCCGTAACTGTTGGTCTAGGTCACCTTGGGAGAAGGGCACAGGCAATCAGCTGCAGCCTTCAGGGCTTGTTTGACAGGGAAGCTGTTTCCACACTCATTACTAGTTTGACATTTTGACTAGATCGACCAGTTAACAACTAGTCGATTCGGTCACACTATAATAAAGCAATCAGTTCAGTCAAAATGGTCAAACGTGATGAGAGTATAGACACAGGGTTTAAAAATCCAATTTCATGTACATTTGCAAAACTTAAGTGATGTCTTTATTTCCAGAATTGTATTTCTCCTAAACAAAGAGCATACATCTACACACATTTTAGGGGCTTTATAACATAGTTTCCAAGACTGTTTCAAACCCCAGAGTGTGAAGCACCTTGAAAAATCCTCCAATGTCTTATTCTGTGATAAACAGGACAGTCCCTTCAAATCTGTATAGCCCACACTTAGTACAGTGCTGAGAATGACACAGATGTTTTTACAAAATACTCCCTGGAGGCCGGAAGGGAGGGATGAAGGGAGGTCTCACATTTAGGATAGAAGTTGTGTTTACACTTTAAAAATTGCTTTAAAAAAATTATCCCTACCAATGGTTTGTTATTAAAAATATATGGACAAATCTACTGCCTTGGACAGGGACTTAAATAAAGGAATAAACCTTTTCTAAAGGTTGCTTGGCATTAGGAAGGCAGGGCTTTCAAACATAAACAGATGCTAATAATTATTTTCCTTACAGTTGATTGCATTTCTCTAATGTTAAATGCTCTGAAACTCCCCTTTGCTGAATGGCTCAGCAGTGGCTCCCTGGTGACCTTGCACATATCCACTCAGGCCACACAGACAAAGGCATATGTAAATTTTAGCGGAGTGCCCTGTGATCTTCCACAAATGCGAGAAGAAGGGAGGTCTCTGAGGAGGTACTCCAATGGCATCTCCTACTCGCCTCCCGGTCTCCACTGGCAGACTCACGAAACAGTTTCTCATCCCCTCGCAGGGTTCTTCGGAGGTGTGGGGCTTTGTACCCTGCCTCTCAGAACAGAGCCGCAGAATAGAAAACAGCATAGCTTCCGCTTAGAACCGGCTCCCCAGCAATAGGGAAGCCCACAACTCGTGTGGCAGTCATCTGTTCTCTTTGTTTTGGTGTCGTTTTTTTCAACGTGTGGGACAAGAACTTGGGAGCTGGCACTTTTAGCTACTCTTCCTTTGTTGTCTATGTAAGTAATAAACTGAATCTAAGAGCGACTCGTATTTTTCTGTACTGGTTGAGCCAGTCAGATCTTGGTCTTGGCTTGTGTGTGTATCTCCAGGTTTTCTTGCTTCCAAGTACCATGCTTTGGCCATTCCTGACTCCCCCAGTGCCCCAGGAAGTGTGTGTGGAATAAGATCAAAGAGACAAGAAGCCATCGCTGGAGGAAGGGTCTGAAAGGGAAGCTGAGGATGAGTGATGATGAAGGAAAAGGAAAGCGAGGGTGGAGTGATAGTTCCAGCCCTTTCACAATTAGCCATATGTGGGTTATCTGCTTTTTGGATTATTCACAAAGCCTCTTCCACATTTTTCAGTCCTCTGGTTAAATCAAGATGAGGGACGCCAGGCACAAAGGAGAGTGTATTGACTGCTTTTGGCACTGTTTCTGATGGATTCCAACGCATACCAAAACAAGTTTTTAGATTATGCTCTGTTTAGTATTTGCTTGCCTCTGTTCCCCACATTAACATAGATAATAACACTGCCTGTGTATCCAGTGAAAGCATGGACTATGCTAATGAACTCATTAAAAGAATAAGTAGTTAATTAGGAAGCTATTGTCTTCACAAAGGCAGTGGAAGATAAAATCTATCTTCCTATATACCCTATGTATGCTACTTAATATATACATCTCCTATGAGTCTAACACATTTTCTGAACCCCAAATTTGTTTTGAATAGACAAGGGGGGAGGGAAACGGAGCTGAGCTGGCCATGTCAGTTAGAAATACAGGAAAGCAAACCAACGAAATGGCATTTATATTCAGAAAGCTCTATCCTAAGTACCGTTCCTGGCTTCTTCCAAGGGCAGCAGTGATAATCACAGTCACAAGGTGTGATGAGAGTCAGGTCCTGGCTGACCCAGCACCCTTTCACCCATCTCCACTCTTTTCTCCTTTCCTTAAACAATATAGCAAAACCGCAGAGGTTAAAAGTCCAAACTATGGAGACAGACTCCCTGCTTCAAATCCCAGCTCTGTCACTTACTAGCTGTGTGAGTTTTGGCAAATTACCTAATCATTCTGTGCCTCAGTGTCCTCATCTATTAAATGGGAATAATGATGGAACTTATCCCATAGAGATATTGTGAAGATTAAATGAGTACGTAAAGCACACGTAAGTGCTACCTAAGTGTTAGCTGTCATATTATTAAGTATTTGTTGCCATTGTAACTTTTGAAATTCAATCTGACAGGTTTACTACTGTAGATCCAGCATTTAGCATAGCAAGGGCTTAATAAATATTTGTGCACCAGTTCCCCACCATGAAGGTTAAAAGTTGAATTTATAGAGCAATACAGGCAGAAGAAGAGATGTACACTCAAACATCGGTGAGGTGATCCTGAATTTTTTACCTGTGAGATTAACAGAATTTGGTCCCAAATAATCGGTCTAATGAAATTAGAATTAGAAATACACACAGACTTAAAACAGAGACATCAAGGATAATGGTAGATATACTTACCCCAACCAACTAGACAAAATTTAAGGATATAATTTGGAATATATATGTTGAAGACTTTGACTAGAGCAAAATACATGTGGACTGCCTCCAGGCCCATCCAAGTCAAAGAAACGAGCAGGAAGTAATGAAGTGCCACTGCGGCTGTGATGCAAAGTTCCACTTTCTGAAATGATGACAACCAGGAATTGACCAGAAATACCAGGTTTAGCATCAGCAGTGCTGTGCACAGATTGATCAGGATTTTGGAAGGATAATCTTTGCGAAGTTTGCTAAAACAAAAACACGATGCTAAGTTACATGGAATCTCTTTTTTTAATCAAGTATTGTCATGTCTTATATGTGTAATAACTGAAAGAATAAAAGAACTACCTATTAAAGTTAAATTACTCATTTCACTTCACATGTTCTGAATTTTAGAGCCTCCATCCTCCTTCCAGGTACAGTAAAAATATCCTACATATAGTGACCTTCACTAACAGGAATAATATTAGCCTGTCTCCACCAGGCCGTCCCCTGTTTTCTTTCTCTTTTAGAAAGAAGGAAGGGAGGAGTTTCCTGAATACTACAATTCTATTATCACTGCTTCAGCAGATTGGAGCTACATATTACCAAACAGCAGGATGACTATGGAAACCATTCCAAGTAGAGTTACTTGGATATTTCCAAAGATCCCAGTGTTTAGCATCATGGAAATATGGCCTGAAATTTTACTAAGTGATCACAATTTTACTTCGCAGAAACTGACCCAGTATTTTCCCAAATAAAAAAAAAATGTGTTTTCCCCTTTAATTCTTTTATACTGCTGTTAAACATTTATTGATTTAAATTTTGCAATTTTCATTTTGTGTGAACGTGTTTTTTCAACTGAGATAAATTGTTAAGTGCACGAATCCTAAGAATGCAACTCAGTGAATCTTTACATACGTATACACCTGTGGAACTTCCACCCTGATCAAGAGGTAGAATATTTTCAACACCCCAGAAGGCTTCTTTGTGCTTCTCCCATTCAATAACCAACCCTCCCCCCAACCAGAGGTAACCAATATTCTCAATTCTATCTTTATACATGTAGTTTTACCTGCACTTGGAACTTTATATAAACTTGAACATACAGTATGCTCTCTTATTTTTCTGGCTTCTTTTGCTCAACTCTATTATGTCTATGAGACTTAGCTATTATGTTGTATTGCATGGAAGTAATTCATTCTTTTTCACTGCTGTGTATGTAGCGTTCCATTTTACGAATATACCATAATTTATTCATCCAGTCAACTGTTAATGTACATTGACTGTGGTTGTTTCTAATTTAGAGCTACTATGACTGAAACTGCTACGAATATTCTTGTATATATCTTTCAAAGGACATATGCACTCCTTTCTCTTGAATACATACCTAAGAGTGAAGTTTCTGGGTCAATGGTAAGATGTATATTTATCTTCAGTGGGTATTGCCAAAAATACCTTCAGTTTTCCAAAGTGTCTGTGCCATTTTACATTCCCACCAGCAATGTATAAGAGTTCCAGTTGTTCCACATCCTTGTTGACACTTGCTATTGTCAGTATTTTTAATTTTAGCCATTCTGGTGAATTCAAGGTGAGTTATGCACATAGAAGTGCATCATTGTGGTTTTAATTGTCATTTCTTTGATGAGTAATCATGTTGAGAACATTGTCAAATGGCTTAGGCGTGGATATCCTCTTTTGTGAGGTGCCTTTTCAAGTCCTTTGTTCATTTTCAAATTGTATTGTTGGCCTTTTGCATTTTTATTTGTAGGAGTTCTTTACATATTCTACAAACAAGTTCTTTATCAGATATATGCATTGTGAATATGGAAACCCAATCTATGGTTTGCCTTTTCACTTTAATTATGTCTTTTGATTAAAGAAATTCTTAATAACGTCCACTTTATAAACTTTTTCTTTGTGGTTAGTGTTCTTATTTTCTGGTAGAGAAATATTTTCCTATCTTAACCCTCTTGCTTTTTAAAAATCCAATTACAATATTTTCTTTTCAGAGGGGCCTTGGTTGTTTTGTTTTTAACCTGTCCACTTCATAATCAAATAGATCTGATCTCTTCCTATTGTGATTTGCTCATGAAATTAACAAGTTTATAATGACAACAACATCCATTAAACCAGATTAAACTTACTCAAAGCAAGGTTGTATCAACTTACTGAAAAGCTATGTATGTCACCATTGCAATTCCCAGGAAAATGGAGGAGATTCCACATCCGGTGTATGTTATAAGCACTAATACCCGTTCATTCACTGCATCCACTGTAGACCTGGATAAATCCTAGGGAACACAATATGTTGTATTTTATACATTTACCAGAGCAAGGTTATGGCAAAATGATTCCAATGTTCACTAACAAGAGGTTCCCAGGATATAAAACATCTCTGCTATAGCACTTATAAAACCAGATTATGTGAATAGATATATGCAGGACCATATATTGTTTGCGGAGTATGCCTAGTGCAACTTACTGTGTATATGGCATGGAGAGCCCTCAACAGCATTGGAAGAACATTTAGTCCTTGGTTTCATTGTCATTAACATGTTCCACGTTTAAAAACATAACCGAGCTAATAGATGTGAATTGGGGATTAAAGTGAATCATTATCTGAATTGAGTGTCCCAAAACACTCCAAAGAACATCAAAAAAATGTTCCTTTTCCTTAGACCTTAAAAGATTCTCATAAAATTAAGAGACAAAATGGACCTTAGAGATCACATAGTCCAGTAATTTCTTAATTGAGAACCATAAAAGACCTGAAATGACATGCAAAACTATTTGAATATATGTGTACTGGTCTGGGAAGAGGGCCTATAGCTTTCATCAGATGGTTATAGAGATTCATGACTCATAAAAAGTTCAGAAGCATTGGTCTACTCTGGTAGTTCTCAACTGGGAGTGATTTTGCCCCTCTCCCAGGGACATTTGGCAATGTCTGGAGACAATTTTGGTTGTCACAACTAAGGAAGGTGCTACTGGCATCTCGTGGGGAGAGGCCAGGGATGCTGCTAAACATCTTACAATGTACTGAACAGCCTCCATAACAAAGAATTATTTCTTCAGAATAGCAATAATGCCAAAGTTGGGAAACCCTAGTCTATTCTAGTCATTCACATTTCAGAAGAAAACTATAAGGTCCAAACAAGTTAAACAACCTGACCAAGATCACATAGCTAGTTACCAACAGAGCTGGAACACAAACTCTGGTCTTTTGACTCCTACCGTAATGTTCTAGCCAACTTGGAAGAAGCTAAAAAAAAATTCTTTTTTTTTTTTTTTTTGAGACAGAGTCCGGCGCTATTGCCCAGGCTAGAGTGCCATGGCATCATCATAGCTCACAGCAACCTCAAACTCCTGGGCTCAAGCGATCCTCCTGCCTCAGCCTCCCGAGTAGCTGGGACTACAGGCA